TCTCAGTAGAGCGTGCGCAGTCGATGCTGAACTGCCTGGGGTCCTTCCAGTGCAAGACGGCGGTTCCACTGAAACAATTTCAGAGGCTCCTGGGGCATATGGCATCCGCAACCGCTGTCACGCCGCTCGGGTTGCTACATATGAGACCGCTTCAGCATTGGCTTCACGACCGGGTCCTGACATGGCACTTACCGGGTTTCTGTTACCCCCGTTCTGCCGTCAGACCCTCAGTGGCATATCAATTGCCTCGAGTTGCAAGCAGTATGGCTGGCTCTGCGCCGCTTCAAATCACTGCTACACGACAAGCACGTACTGGTCAGTACTGACAGCACTGTGACCATTGCGTACATCAACCACCATGGCTGTCTACGCTCCCGTCGCATGTCGCAACTCGCCCGCCATCTCCTCCTCTGGAGTCAGAAGCATCTGAGGTCGCTTTGCGCCGTTCACATATCTCAGGCGAGCTCAATCGTGCAGCCGACGAGCTCTCACAACAACAGTCCAGCTGATTTGGAGGCACTTTGGGGACGCTCAGGTAGACCTGTTTGCCTCCCCGGACACGTCCCATTGCCAGTTGTTTTTCTCCCTGGCCGAGGGGACCCTCGGCATGGACGCACTGGCGTGCAGCTGGCAAATATGCGTTTCCCCCAGTGAGCCTTCTCGCACAGACACTGTGCAAGGTCAGGGAGGACGAGGAGCAGGCTCTCTTGCTAGCGCCATATTGGCCCAGTCGGACTTGGTTCCCCGAACTGATGCTCCTCGCGACAGCCCCTCCTTGGCGAATTCCTCTGAGGAGGGATCTCCTTTCTCAGAGAGGGGGCACCCTCTGGCACCCACGTCCAGACTTGTGGAATCTCCACTTATGGTCCCTGGACGGGACGCGGAGGTTCTAGGTGGGCTACCTCCAGCGGTAGTAAACACCATCACTTCAGCTAGAGCCCCGTCTACCAGACACGCTTACAGGCTGAAGTGGAACCTGTTCGTCGGTTGGTGCTCTTCCCGCCGGGAATCCCCCCGTAGATGCCCGATCGCAGTCGTGCTTTCTTTCCTGCAGGATGGGTTGGAGCGAAGGCTGTCTCCCTCTACCCTGAAAGTGTATGTTGCCGTGCAGCATCACAGTAGACGGTAAGTCTTTGGGGAAGCACGACTTGGTCATCAGGTTTCTCAGAGGGGCAAGGAGGTTAAATCCTCCGCGC